CGGTACCGGTTACCACCGGAGTTCTTCCCGCATGCCCGGTCCAAAGGGCCGGTGAGCCGTTGGCAGATTACCTTCAGCGGGTACAGGCATTCACTGATGCTGTAGCAACCGCAAAGGCACAGGAGGAAGCAGAGGCGGAACGTCAACGGCTGGCCAAAGAGGCGGCAGCCCAAGCTCAGCAGACTGCTGAGGATGACGCAGCAGCACGGGACCAACGGAATGCCGCCAGCACGGAATCCCTGATTCATAATGAGAATCAGTGGACAACGATCCTCGAGGGCATGATCTTTGTGCCTTCGGCAGAGCAGGCAGATCCGACACTGGCTGAGGTAGAGAGGACTCACCTGGCTAACGTGATGTTGACAATGATGCGAGCGATCATGTGGAACAATACGATGTTAGCAGTACAAATACACAAAGGCAGACAACTGCAACAGATTCAGCAGAAGGATTCTGCGGCCTTGTCAGCAGCTGTTCGCACTACCGTCACACATCAGCAACAACAGCAACAGCTGTGGAACACCACCACCGCACGCGTCAGCAGCATCGAGGCTAAGGCCTCAGCAGCGCCAGGCTGCAGGACAGACTCAACGGGCGCATCGATCACGTCGTCAAGCTCATCGGCGACATAGGTATTTTCAATGGGCCGGACACGATCAGTAGCACGGTGGCCGCCATCAAGACGGACATCACCAAGCTACAGACGAGACCGGACGCCGCGACGAAGAGTTACAAGATGCCACACTTCGACATCAGCAAGTTTGACGACCACAACAAGACGGACGCCTTGGCATGGTGGCAACGTTTCCTTACGGAAGCATCCTGCCGCACTGTCCCAGACGACTACATGATGAAGGCGCTATACTTACAGCTGATTGGAGGAGCGCAGACATGGATGAACCACCTGGCGGCTACCCACACATGCACCATCGCCGAACTTCACACGCACATCACGTGGAGGGAGTTCGAGCAGCTATGGTTCACCCGGTTCATGGTCCGCAACGTCGTGAAGGCGACCATGAACGAGGTGTACACCTGCTCTCAAGGAAGTATGCCAACTCGAGACTAGACAACCAAGTGGCAGAAGATAGTGACCATGCCAGGCTTCGATTTGACTTTTCCAAATCAACGATCCGATTTCTTCTCGCGATCATGCGCAGGATTGCGGTCGACACTCGGTAATGAGTACGACTATACCTCGTTCCAGGCCATCCTGGATCGTGCAAACCTGGTCATCCAAACGGACGACAAGGCCGCTAACGAGAAACAATCCCAGCCGCATTATGTGGCTAAGCAGGGCTATCAACGTCCGGCACATAACAATGCCGTAATTTATGAAGGAACAGATGATCTCCACGCTGCAACAACATCCTTGAGTGATGGAGGAATTGTAGCAGCGCTCCCGCCGAAGCGTCCTAAGAGGGTCCGTAAACCCAAGGCGACACAAGAGACAGCATCGACGGGAACTGGGCAGCAGCCATGGACGGCCTACAACATCACAAAGGAAGTCTATGAACTTCGTCAAAAGTACAAATATTGCCTTTGGTGCAATGGAGTCACACACTTGACTGCACAATGCCCCGAAAAGGGCAAGGCACGCGTACTCCGTCCAACAAACTCGGGAAACTGAGTTACGCAAGGAGAGGGGCGACGTCTCTCCTCACTGCGCCGGACCCGGTTGCCTTGCTAGCAATCGGTGTCACTACTGGGGAGCATGCGTTAGTCGCTGATTCTCGTGCTACGTACGAGGATTATGCCGCCCAGCTGGTACCACCATTAGACCAGCCAAGCCACGTGCACTTAGCTAGCGTATGCGCAGCCTGTTCACCGTCGGCAAGTGATCCGGTCAGTTCGCCATTGATTTTCGAGGACTCGACAGCGTGGTCAAGACTTGAGGAGCTTGACCCGCTCACGCGAGAGGACTTCGCTTGGATGCCCTTACCCTCGACCGGAACCTTACCAAGGCCGCATTGCAATGCCTTGATGGCAACTCTACGCTCCTATTTGCACACTACAGTACCAGCTCCGTTGACGGACGACGGGGTAGCGGTTGTCGATCTCCGCTCCTATCTTGCGAAGATTGACCGCGAGTACGCCACCCAAAGGTACGCCGAAACCGACGCTCCTTTGCTCTATATCTGCATTCAAATCGGAAAGGCAACCTGTAGTGCCTTGATTGATTGCGGAGCGTCTCGCAACTTTATAAGCCAAGCCTTTATGGTCCGCGCAGGTCTTGGCCCGCGCGTTCGAAGTAAGACGCAACCCACGCAAGTTACACTCGTGGACGGCCGCATGCAAAAGTCAATCGACCGATGCGTCGACGGCGTTCCGGTATACTTTGCGCCATTTCCGTGCGAGCCGGTGTCTTTTGACATCCTCGACACCAAGTTCGACATGATTCTAGGCATGTCTTGGTTGCGTAGCGCCGATCATCCGGTGAACTTCCATGACCGAACCGTTCACATCCGTGATCGGAACGGAGTGTTAGTCCCATGTAYGGTCGCGACCCCTCACACTTCGATTGCTTGTCACATGGTTTCCGTTGCGGGAATTTGCGACACCATAGCCCGGAATGACGTCGAGGAGATGGGCCTTGTATTCTTGCATGTTCTCCCCTCG